TGATGTGTTTATTGGACCAATCAGATAAGAGTAAATGGAGAGTCAGCGAGAGGCTCATTTGATTGGCTACAAGAAGGAGGACCCGCCCTCCCCCTCACGCTTGCAAAACTCAGTCAGTGAGAGAATCGTGCCAAAATTGTAAGCGCAGAGAAAAGAAAGACGGAGCTGTACATATCGGTTTATTTCGGGAACTTTTTGCCCCACATACACAACAAGTCATTTAGACATTTGCAACAGTTAGTTTTGTACACATACAGACTGGTTCTATGCAGTCAATCCGTTTTGCAGTTCTTTAAACTGTTGTTTTCGCTTGCAAATCACTGTTCACAGGCTTGCAGTGCTTTTGACCGTCTTTTGGCGAAAAAAATGTGCCAAAAGTGTAAGCGCGGAAAAATGGAAGTCAGAAGCATGCAGATCATATTTATTTTGCGTTAGCATGAAGCTGCAGTTTCACAATACATGAATTACACTTACGAGTAACAGTAAAATGCTGCAAATATTTTTTTCTTGCGCTTGAAACACGATTTACACCTTTACAAAGCTTCTCTTGCGCATGCAAATTTAATTTACGCTTACAGTCTTATGTACACTTCCACAACTCTTACCCTGCGTATGCAAATCTTTTTGACGTCATTCTACCTTCATATAAAGCCACAGCAGAATTGTTGTGCGTCTCCGAGCAACACTGCAGTGTTTAGGTTCTGAATGAATCCACATTTTGAACGAATCGAATGAATGAAAGACTCACAAAGACATTTACCGCCACCTGCTGGCAGTTTTAGTTTCTTATTTAGAGTATTATTTTAAAAAACTTTAAAGGGATAGTTAACCCAAATTTTTTTTATTATTATGTCATAATTTACTCAAACCTGACTTACTTTCTTTTGTGGAACATAAAAGAAAGCATTTTGTAGACTGTTGTTAACAAAGCTGTTTTGGTTACCAACGTGTTCAATTGCATGAACAAAAAAACCCTGAGATTTTTCTTCAATTATCTTCTTTTATGTTCCATAGTTTTTGTTAGGCCGTTGTAACCTAAACATTTATGTGCAATAAATTTTATGTTGAATCAAATAAAACATTTCTTTCTAAAGCTACTTACTATATGTAGTGTCTACTTAATACTTTCTCATTTAACACAAAAATAGTTTTAAATAATCTTTTGGGGTATTTTTCAATTCAATTCAATTCAAGTTTTCACAGCCAAATGTAATTTGCGATTAATTTAGATTAATTAATCAACACATCATGTAATTAATTGGATTAAAAATTGTAATCGACTGACAGCCCTAATATATATATATATATATATATATAGTATCATATTAGTGTATATATAGGTATCATGATTAGTTATTTACAATGCTTTACAGTGCATATTTATTGATAGGACATGCCGTTTATAATTGCAGGCCTCCAGTAAGCGACAGCACCACCTCAATAAGCACCTGTACAGGCCCTCGACATTCCTCACCTCATACGAGCCGCCCGTCTACATGGATGATGAGGACGAACGGTCTCACTTCTTCAACAGCCTCCAGGATAATGGAGCGGATGATTCGGTCAGTCCTTGTTAAGATTTCAGTTCAAATCCAACTAAATCTGAGAGCTCGCACTTCAGGGTGGCCAGTAATTGATCGGGTCACTAATCATCAGAGAAATGCATGTATGATTGAACCAGTGAGAGCCATGGCATTTTATCAGACCATATTCAAGCTTATTGATTTAGAAGCTGGAAAGGGAAAAATAAATACCTGAAATCAATTGATGAAAAATGCTTTTTGAAAGCCATTTTGTTTCCTCTCTTCCCCTCTGGCAAACATTTGATGGCCTTTCTCAAACAGGCAATCCTTTAAAGACCGCAAACTGGCATTTCCACAGTTGGGATTTGCTTGATGTTTGATCATTTGATAATGATGAGCTGCCTTTTGACAGACACTGCTGCCAAAATCATTAGAGATGACTCGATGTTTGCGTCTCCTCAGCTGAACTGTGTAAAGAAGGCTGTGTGTTGATGTTGAGTGACCGTGAACTGACTGCAGTGGCTTGACATTTTCTCTGTCTCTGATATGTAACCTTTACGCGACACCAGTCAGCAGGCCCTGCAGAGAACATAACCACTCGCGCGTTGCCAAGCATCAGCGAACCTTACATGCACCAAATATAGACTTACTACAAATCATGACATCACAAGCCTTACGTAAAACCTGCATGGAAATATTGGAAATGGAGCTTTTCCTGTCAACAAACTAAACCCATTTTAATTGTCATTATCACATTGATGCAGTGTTGATTTGTATTATATTGTGGTGCTCATACATACAGTTTCCTGCGGTAATAAAATGACAAGGCAAGGATGCATTCAATTGATGAAAAGTCGTAAAAGGTTTTAATCCTGAAATAAAAGAGTTTTCACGATTTCTACAAAAATATTATGCAGAACAACTGTTTTCAACTTTGATAATTGTCTGAAATATTTCTTGAGCAGCTAAAGCCTGGAATACACTACACGATTTTTGCCCTGATTTTCCAGCAATTTACAGTCTGGAGAAGTTGACGCTAGTTGCCGAAAGTCGAAGTCAGTCTGCAGATTTGAGTTGACAGATTCCATAGAAAATCACGTAGTGTATGATGGTCACAGACTCTTTATTTTTTTTCAGCTTCAGACTCTGATTCCATCCAGTCAGAGGAGATCAAACATGTTTGATATTTCCAGCCGATTTTAGAACACGTTGCACATTTCTGCGTGAGTTTGTTGTGATCGGAACGACTTCAAAGTCTGCTAGTGTATCATGCTCAGTCGTGTAGTGTATGATGGCCGGTTTTCTTCTCTCACTATTTACCAAGTCGGTAAGTGTATGATGCCTAGTGTTTTAAAAATCTGTTCAGATTTTAAAAGTCATGTAGTGTATTCCAGCCTTAATCAGCATATTAGAGTAATTTCTGAAGGATCATGTGACACTGAACACTGAAGTAATCCTTCTGAAAATTCAGCTTTCCCATCACAGGAAAAAGTTACCATTTAAAATATGTTAAAATAGAAAACAGTTGCTTTAAATTGTAATATTTCGCAATATTACTTTTTACTGTATTTTTGATTAAATAAATGCACCCTTTGTGAGCATAACAAAAATAATGTTATGGACCCCAAACTTTTATTTATACAATACCTTTTATTTAAGCAGTTTGAATATTTTTTTTCACACCATTAATTTCTCTGTTGTTACTACCTGACAGTAACATAACTATTTTCAAAGGATTTGCCATGGCAAAGATATTATAATTATTTGAGAAAAATGTATCTGATAATACTTTCAATAATAATTATATACTAATATCATATAAATAATAAATAAAAAAATATTTTTGATTTTATTACGACATTTTCAGGAAAAAGTTACCATTTAAAATATGTTAAAATAGAAAACAGTTGCTTTAAATTGTAATATTTCGCAATATTACTTTTTACTGTATTTTTGATTAAATAAATGCACCCTTTGTGAGCATAACAAAAATAATGTTATGGACCCCAAACTTTTATTTATACAATACCTTTTATTTAAGCAGTTTGAATATTTTTTTTCACACCATTAATTTATCTGTTGTTACTACCTGACAGTACCATAACTATTTTCAAAGGATTTGCCATGGCAAAGATATAATTATTTGATAAAAATGTATCTGATAATACTTTCAATAATAATTATATACTAATATCATATAAATAATAAATAAAAATATATTTTTGATTTTATTACGACATTTTTTATGTTGTGACAAAAATAAATAAGGGGAGAACAGAGTCAGGAAATGTAGCCTCAACCTACCCTAACAAAAACAAGAAAAAACATTGGGTCATTGAAGTATATTCCAGACTCGTTAAAAAAAAGTTTGTAAAGATCATATTTTGTGCTATAAATTCAGATTTTGTAGCAGTGACAGCTGATGTGGTGAAGAGTGTTGTACTGTTCTGACCCTGCTGTGATGTTTCAGGATGAGGAAGGAGTTCCAGTGGAGCTGAGGCACCTGCCGGAGTATAAGGAGCTACTAGAGCTGAAGAAACTCAAGAAACAGAAACTACAGGAGATCCAGGCAGAGAGCGCTCTCATGCAGCACGTTGGCTATAAGGTACACACTTTTACCTGCCTATTTCCATTGTGATGTCTCTCTGATTCTCAAAAATATAAATCAGGTCATCATTTAATCCCCTTCGTGTTGTTCCAAACCTGTATGACTGACTTGTGTGGAACACAAAAGAAGATATTTTGAAGAATGCAGAAAATGTTTTTGTTCATACAGTCCCTCTGGCTTTCATTGTAGGGACAAAAACACTGAAATATTTTTCAATGTTGCATCATGTTCCACAGAAGAAAGTCCTACAGATTTAGAAACCACATGAGGGTGAATAAATGATGACAGAGATGTCTTTTTTCAGTGAACTATCCCTATCCCTAGCGACAAGTGATAAAGGCCATCTCTTAGACAGCTGTATAATAATATAATGTGGCTCTTTTTCATGATCAGCATTTTTTTTTTCTTTGTTAATGTTTGCATGTAATTCTCACTCAGTGTGACTTGTGTGGCATTGAGCCCATCCAGGGTGTACGGTGGCACTGTCAGGACTGTCCGCAGGACAACGCTGTGGACCTCTGCAGTTCCTGCTCCGACTGGTGAGTGGAGCTGGGCTTTTCCCACTTGTTACAACATTGTGGTGTTAATGTAAAGACAGTTAACTCATAAATACACTCTTTTTGACATGTCTTGAATGCTCCATTTGAAACGTGCCCTTTGAAATCATAGCCCTTTGAGCTTTAAGACTGTATCACAATTCATGTTTTTCAAATCCCAAAAAATAATACGTTTGTTGTACCTCTGAATATATTTAAGACAATTGTATGACCTTAAATATCACAAAAACGGACTTTATTCACACATGCACCTAAGTACATTTTACAGTTCTTGCACATCTATTTTTAGTTGCAAATGTGAGTGAAATGCTCACACAGTTGAACCTTGCTTAAATGAAATCTGATGTGCATAATTTAAATGTAGGATAGGCGATTTCGGAAAGGCTAGCAATAGCAAGTTAGCTTTGAAAGCATTTGCGACTGAAAACTACTGCGTGCGACTATGAAACATTTTTTAGGAGCACCAGTGCGATTGACCCGATCATCATCATATTTGTGATTGCGCTCAGGGGAGCTTCAAAGGTTTCTACGTGTTTTTGCAGAGTTGAGCGTTGATATCACAGACATATCTCACAAATCCTTTCATAAGCCAAGTGTAGACAGGGTGTAAATAAGAGATTCATTGCGCAGTGTAGAGAGCTTCGTTGATTATAAACGTGAGATCGCGATGAACTAAGATGAGTGACAGCTTTTACTGATTTTTAAGGGAGTTTGTAAATGTGATACTGATTTAATACAACAGTTCAATAAACAAGAAGTTAATATTAAGTGACTTACATTGTCTGACTATAACACTATTGTCTGATTTTTGCTCTATTTCGTCATCGAAAATAGTTTAAAACAAAGACACAGCGGAGCCGCAGCGCATCTCCATTCAAACACAGCTGTGTTTCGTTTATGAATGAACGGCCGTTTTTAAATGAATCTAGTGAGTCAGTGATTCATGATTACCTTCATTCATAAAGACAGTCACTTGCTTCATTCCTGAATGAATCAGCCGTTCGAATTAATCAATTGAATGAATGACTCAGTGATAAAAATCAGTGACTTGCCGCCACCTGCTGGCAGTTTTAGTTTCATTAAGCCACTTTTGTGTTCTTCTGTGCCACCTCTACAAATTAATTTTGTTAATACTGATTTAATTTGATTGGTAACGTATGTTTCTTATTCTACTTGTTCTTATTCTTATTCTTATTTTTAATTACAATTTTTAAAAAGCTTATAAAATATAATTTTTTGACAAAAATTCTGCTGTAAATCACTTTGAGTCAAATATCACCTTGTAATGGGAAGGCTAATTTTTGATAAAATTTTGGATTATTGATTAGAAGGTGCTCCTAAATTTAAGTTTACCTAAAAAGAAAAGTAAGCGTAGAGCCCTGGTCCTACGCCTTACACAGATGATATAAATACATTTAGACCACTTTACTTGGTGATTGCTATCGGGATGTGAAGAGACTTAAACCAGCATAACAAAAAATGTTTTTGAACCAGATCACCTACCCTGCCTTTAATAAACTGAATTATTGATTTTTGATTTTTTGAGGACTTATCGAAAATGTTGCGAACTGAAATAGAAGCATTAGAGAAAGAAAGAAAGAAAAACACTTGTGATACAGGTCCTTCATCCTTTTACTGACTTTTCAAAGAATGTTTTATTTGAAATTCTTGACAGAGGAAATCTCCTCAATCTAAGATGGGGAATCTCAGGCCTGCTTTGTATTTTTTATTTTTTTCTACAAAATATCCACGTTTCCATTCTGTTTAACTTGAAATGTTGGTCAGTTGTCTCGTCCTAACCAGTCACCTTTCTGTTTGCCCCTTCAGTTTGTTCAAAACGGAGACCCACAAGCCCACACACAGACTGGAGCCAGTCTGCCAGGCCGAAACCTTCCTGGACAAAGACTACTGCTTACCGCAGAGCACAGGCTACAACTACCTGGACCCCAACTACTTCCCTGCCAACAGATGACAGGGACAAGCTCCGGCGCTAGTATCCAAGGCTGGGCCACAGCCCCCAGGGCATTCTGTGCATGGCTCCATCATCCAAGTCAAAGAAATGCTTACGTTTGGGCGAGAGGGTACCACAGATGGGCCGCAACTCGCCCCGACCCGCTGCCGGAGGGGGCTGGGGTGGGGGAGGGGTCGGGGGAGGGAGGGGGCAACGCCCTGCCGCGGTTGTCAAACCTTACCAGGTCTCGTCAAGTAACACTATCTCAAATCAAAAGAAATGAGAGGAAAGAACGAACAAAAGAAAAGGCGCACCGACATTCCCAATCCCAGGACATTTAGAAGGCAACCCGACGCCTCCCTTTGTTCCACCGTTTAAATGACGTGCGTCAGTTACGCACCTCTCGGAGGAGCGCGCGGCTCTGGATTCATCGGCAGGAGCGGGGTTGGGCTTGCGTTAAAGTGCAAAATGTCGTCTGTAGTTGAAATATTTATAAGTGAAGCTTTGTGTGTGAGCTCTTTTCGTGAGGCGGGAGTACAAGGAAAGGAACTTGGTGCTGAGACTGTCGTCTTTGATTCATACCAGGTTTTTAACCAATCGAGGAGGTTCGCTCACAACTCCGACGTTCTAAACAGGGGTTAAAAAAACAAAAACAAAAAATCCCAGCCGACAGACCCCATACGTGTCTCTTGCCATGGGCTACCATTTTCACTAGAAGCTGCTCTTTGTTTCCTCTTATGACCATTACATGATGTTGTCACTTTATTTACGTTCATTTCTTGTTTTTTACATTACGCCGAATTTAAAAAAAAAAAGCCACTCCACTTAACCCAATAGGTTCCCAAACCTCGAAGCACTACAACACGGAGAAGACCAGCTGAGATCCGGAGGACGTTATAGCGCTCTCTGTGCTTGTGGAGAGCTTTCTTTTCTTTTCTCAATGTGTACTGTTGTTGATCATGTGGAGTATTCAGATATATGGTGAAAAGTAGCCAGTGGTAGTTGCCGTGTGCCATTTTTTTTTTCATCCCTGTCCAGTCGATTCAAACCTGGCCACTCGTTTTAGAAGAAGAAAATAAAGAACTCGTGGCACGTTTGCCCTCTGTGAAAAACTGCCCAACCATCATCACGCCTTTAGATCCCTCTAATTTTCGCGGTTTCCTCACGGTCCATGAAAAGATTGTATTTTTATTAATCTATTTAAAAGACGAAGAATAACGAAATCGAGTTGGTGGTAGTCGTCGCACGTGCGCCGCACTCCCACGTTATTTTATACACATGCATTTCGTTGTGCTTTGAGTAGACCATTTTGTATTGGGTTCTGTTCACCTCCCCTCCCTTGACCCGCTTCAATATCTGTGTATAATAGTCTGTTCTTAAATAATGTAAAAAATGGTAGAGGAGAACTGTGGAAATAAAAGTATGTGAAAAGTCTTTCTACACTACATGACTCGGGTATTATGATTTATCCTTCTGATTTATTTCAGTACTTAAGCTCTGAAGTTTGATATAAGGACAGATTAATAAGGTTTGTTAGTGGCACGTTTATTTTTAGTGTTGAGAGTCTGTCATGCCACTAGAGGGTGGTAGGTTATTGTGAATGCTACAGTCCATTCGTTTCTGATATGAAGTGACGTTGTCATTGTATTACAGTTATTAATTTGCACGTAAAGAGCGGATATCAGAATATTCACTTCAGTCATAGGAAATAACTGTTCTCTGATAGTGGTCGACTGACAAGTGACTTGAAGAACAATGGATGGCAGATATAGGTGATATCACGCTATTTAATATAAAGCTGCATTCAATAGTTTGCTGCTAATTTCAAAGGTTTTACACATGAATAAATTGTGACATGCATTGGCATGAGATGAAGAGTGTGCTCAGAGTTTTCTATGATTGCGGGTCACCACCGTCAAGTGTATTTTGCCATACTGAAATTATGTTTCACTAAACATTGGAGTATTTCATTACACTAATTGGCTGGCATCTCTGTCGATATGCTAGTAAATGGCTTTTCTAATGAGAAGTGGTGTAGAAAGGGACTTGATTTTTCAATCGGGAATTGATTGGATGGTTGGATCTCATGTGAGTTTGCTGGAAGGAAGACTTGTACTTTGGTAAAGTAATGGTAACAATACTGTCCAGTATGCATGTTTTTCATATGACAGGCTCTACCACATTGGCTAATTTTGGTGCTGCTAGAGAAAACTGCTTGCAACACTTCCAGTTTTTTTTTTCCCCACCTTCAATGATTTGCACATTGACCTTCATACCCACACATACTGTTAAAGGAGCAGTTCACGCAAAAATTTAAATTTGCTGAGAATGTAGTCACCCCCCAGGCGATCCAAGATATAGTGTTTTGTTTCTTCAAAACAGATTTGGAGATATGTAGCATTACATCTATTGTTTATCAATGGATCCTCTGCAGAGAATGGGTGCCGTCAGAATGAGAGTCCACACAGATCATAAAAACGTTGCAATAATCCACAGCATGAAGCAAGAAAACACGAAAAGCTACGTTTGTTTGTAATGAACAAATCCATCAAGGCGTTTTAACTTTAAAGCATTACTCCTGGTCAAAATATGAGTCCATAATAATGCTTCCTCAACTAAAAAAGTTCATCCTGTTGTCCTCTCTAATCAAAATCCGCTGAAATGTAAGTTCTTAACCATTTTGGATTGTTTTTGCTTGTAAACCGTGCTTGATCTGTGCATATTTCCTGATTCAGACTACAAATTTTTCACTAAAGAAAAGAATATTATGGATAGATAGAGGACTCGTATTTTTGCCATAAACAACAGTTATTGTGATGTTTTATGTTTTTATCAGCTGTTTGAAATCTCAATCTGACGGCACCCATTCACTGCAGAGGAGCCATTGTTGAGCAAGTGATGTAATGTTACATTTCTCCAAATCTGGCCTGAGGGTGAGTACATATTCAGCACATTTTCTTTTTCGGGTGAACTATTCCTTTAACCGCAACAAAAACATTATTTCTCATAGCTACGGCTTTTAAAGAACAATATAAGACCATTAAACATATGAAATGTCTTTATTTCACTCTGGTTGATAAGGAAGAATACAGTTATCAGACCTCATTGTGAAATTCATCCAATCATTGCCAGACTGTGAAATTCAAAACATTTCCCTCTCCAGTTCATTAATTTCTGCTTCAACGATACAATAAATCACTACTCTTGCATGCTTAGCGCGATATAAACATGAAGCTAAAATAAAAAAAGGCTCTCCAGCAGCCGGTCCGTCATGCTTATCAGTTTTGCTGATTTCAGTGCTCAAGGATACTGACTGAACAACAGTCCAAATGGCATCAGACTGTCGTAAATAACCCTCTGTCTGTGTTTTACGGAGCTGAAAGCGAGCTTAAGCATAAGCATACAGATTCAATACCAAGAGATAAACACTGTTGATTTATTGGGCTGGTATTTACAGTGAACGACGATGGTGTGAAATGAACAGGTGCCAGTTGCTGGTTGGTAGCTTTCCAAGTGAATGTGCCATACAGAAGTTTTAATCGCAGGTGTGTGTGCGTGTGTAATGCGAGTCGTCTGCGGTGGAGCTGTAGGTGATGGTTTGTCCTCCAGGAGGCAGTGCGAGTCCAAGCTCTCTAGCAGGAGTCCAAGACGAGGCAGATCTGCTCAAAGACATCTTCTGGGGGCTGCTCGGCATCAATCTACATACACGCACACATAACACGGCTGTTAGAAATCATAAGCTGAAAAGTAGGGCAACAACTCACAGGAGAACTGTCATACAGCGCTAATAAATCCTACAAACACACAGCTACTCTGAGCGTGTTTAACATATATAGAGAGACAGGTTCATCTGTCTGCTTTATGTTGGCAACATCACTCGATCATCAGATTTGAATATAGTGTAATGATTCCATTCTGTGTAGTGTAATGTTTTCCACCATACAATCAATAAATCGGTTACAGATCAGGTAACAAAAACAGAGCTTTCCAGCTTTTGAGCTATAAATATCTTTTTTTGTAGATATTGTTGTGGTGGATTTACATTTGTGTGTCTGTTATTAATCCTTTGAATAAATAGATTTAAATGATTATTATCTTTAAACGACTTGGGTGTGGGTGAACTACTCATAGAGCAATATCTACTAAATGAAATATTTTAGAGCATAACTGGAAAAAAAAAAAGCCTATTTAATAACAGAAATCTTGTATGCCTTAAAATACTGTAATATTTCCACAAGTTTTCAAGGTTTGCAAATCACTATAAAAAAATCACATACTAATGTACTGTTGTACAACCATGTTTTTTTTTTTTTTTAGACGTACCACAGCAGTACCAATGTGTTCTTTGAAGCACCTTTGTTAACTATGGTAATGATTTAGTGAAAATCCTAATTCTGTCATTTATCCACCATCATGTCATTCCAAGCCTGTAATATTGTCGTTTTTCTGCAGCACAAGAAGATATTTTGGTGAATGCATTAATTGCTATTGTATGGATAGACAAAAAAAATGTACACTTCTCAAAATATCTGTTATGTTCCACAAAAGAAAGAAAGTCATTTGGAACAACATGAGAGTGAGTAAATGACAGAATTTGCATTTTTGGTTGAACTATCCCTTTGAAAACCTGCTTCCCTTCCCCACAAATCAGAGGATGTTTTTGCTTTTAAATCCGATCCAATTTAGCTACTTTCATTTATCTGACATAGTGAAAACGTCCTGACATGACAAACCCCAATCTGGTTAATATGGATGCCCTTTGTGTAGTCAAAATAACTCGCCTATTTGAAGGATTTATTTTAAGGATGGATGTCAACAGCAGACTAAAATCAGTTACTCTGTGCCGATTCTAAAATGTTCTTTTTAGCTTGAGGTCAATGTAACCAAGTCCAATTACACAGAAACGTCACTGCTATGACTAATTGTAGCTTGGCGTTTCCATACCCACCTTGTGCAGGACTTCACTGTGTTCGTAGTGACTGACCACAGGATTGACCAGGCTGCAGAATCCGTCCACTCTACAGCGTGTGTCTCTTTCTCGGGCTTCTTTAGTGTGCAGGCTGCAGGTGGCTCTCTGCTGCAGCCGTCGACTCATGATGTCTGCAGAACATTCCAGGAACAGAACTATGTCGGGCTGCCCCATCTGAAACACAAACATGTATTTTATGTAAGAAATAGAACAAGCACTGAGTGCCAGTCAATTTCTTTGAGATGTGGGCAAAGGCATCTATCATGAGCACTGCAAAATATGTTGTGCTGGTGTTTCTAGTATATTTAGTGCTTTAATTGCATCATTACATATTACTAAATTGGATTTCAAACACTGAATGGTGTCACTGTGTTTTCATCTGTTTCATTGTCTTCTTGTTGGTTTAAAGCAGTGATGGGCAAACTTGGCCCTTCCAGGTCACTTTCCTTCAGAGTTTAGCTCCAACTCTAATCAAACACACCTGAACCAGCTAATCATTGTCTTCAAGACTACTAGAAAGCTACAGGCAGGTGAGTTTTATCAGGGTTGGATCAAATCTCTGCAGGAAAGTGGCGTGGAAGGGCCAAGTTTGCCCATCACTGATCTAGACCCATGAGACCTTCATACAATTTTGAAAAAAATAAATAAATCAAGATATTTTTACTGAAACTTGAGAGATTTTTGTCCCTCCATTAAAAAGTACATTCACACAAGCTCAAGATACTTTCACGTTTTATTCTGCGACATAAAACACCAGTAACACCCCACTCGTGATTTTTTTAAAACGGTTTCGTTTCTTAAAAAAGACGGCTGCTAACAAGTTGCTAAATGGGA